CCCCATTAAAAAAAAAAAAAAAAAAGATTTGGAGAGATAGTGATAGGACAGTATGAATGATACCCAATTTTTGAAAAAGCAAACAAACTGCTGGTGTGCATGTTTGGAAGGAGGTTTATTGATGATTATTGATGGTTAGTTTAGATATTTCTTTTTTTACTTCTTTTTAAAATCTCATGTGCATGGTGGATGATTTTAAGTGTCTTTTTTATTCTCTGGTGATGTAGGTCAGTTCACTAAAGGTCCCCAGCTCCCTACAGGCTCAGTGACTTTGGGGGGCCTCAGCTGAGGCTAGAGGTGGGAAGGGGCTGGAAAGAATAAGCACAGTGCAGTCTGTGGAGCTTTCCCATCTTCCAGGAGGGTCTTCAATACACATGGGTTCCACAGGACTTGGAGAGGGGCCAGGCTGGGGAGTATCTGTGTGAGTGGTTGGCCACCCCCGCTAGAGGAGGGATCAGTGGCACCTGAGAGGCCCTCATTTCCCAACCCACCCACTCAGTGGCTCCAGATCTGCTCTCAGGCCTCAGTTCCTCCAAAGGTCCAGCTCCTGGCTGCCTCCGTGGTTGGCAAACACTTTTATCTGGATCAGGGTGGTCAAGGTTCCCACCCAAGGCAGAGATCCAATCCAGAACTCTGCTTTCATTTCAGTACATCCCTATGCCGGTTCTGTACGGAGTCTTCCTCTACATGGGTGTGGCCTCCCTGAATGGCATCCAGGTGAGGCTGTCCCTTCCCCAGCTTCTGTGACCCTCAGTCAGCACTCCATGTGTAGTTCTAATGAAGATCCCAAGTACTTGCTTTCCAATTCAATAAAAGATGCATAGTAATGATGGTACCACCATTTACAACGGCCAGGCAATGTAAATATACTACGTACTTTACAAGTGTTTAATCTCTATATTAGGTCCTTGGATCCCCATTTTTACCAGTGGGGAAGCTGAAGCTCAGAATTCAAAACCCAGATCAAGCTAACTCCAATGAGCATTTTGCCATACTTTCTAAGACAACTCTGTAGAAGAAAATATTTCATTCTGTATCTACCACAAAAATCCCAGGACTTCTTGGATAGCTTGTGTTCAGTTGCATTTTCCTTCAATATGGACTCTGTTCCTTTTGAGACCATCTCCAGGGCCCTCGCCTCATCTGGGGATAAGGAGCCCTTTTCCCTCATTACATATCTTCCCCACTACCTCTCTCTCTCTCTCTGAGACCCCACCAAGGCACCTCCCAGGAACTAGCTGCCTAGCTGAGACCCACACTCTCCTCACTAGTTCTGGGAGCGCTGCAAGCTCTTTCTGATGCCTGCCAAGCACCAGCCAGACCATGCCTTCCTGCGCCATGTGCCCCTACGCCGCATCCACCTCTTCACCCTGGTTCAGATCCTCTGCCTGGCTGTACTCTGGATCCTCAAGTCCACTGTGGCTGCCATCATCTTCCCAGTCATGGTAAGGTGGGCATGGGCCTCCCTTCCTGTTCAGCAGGTTGGTGTGGACAGGCACCTGCTGGAAGGTCCAGCGGCCCAGCCTTACCTTCCTTCGCCCTTTGCCTTCTCCCCACTGTTGACCTGGCTCTGTCCGGGCGGGTTGTGAGGTCTGGCCAGATGGTGTGCTGTGGGTATGGACAGAGGGCAGGGCAAAAAATTGCTGTGTGGCACGTAGTCCTTGGAGGGACAACCCACATGCTGAGACCAGGGCAACACCATCTAAACTCCTGGGCCGGGGCTGGGGACAAAGAGGTGGGACTAGAGAGTCCCCACTGCCAAAATTCAAGCAGACCTTAGAAGGTGATGCATACTAAGTATAAATCTTCTCACCATGTAAAAGAGTTGAATTTGAAAAGATAAAGGGGGTAGGGAATAAGGTCACAGATCAAGAACCTCAAAAACCTAATGACAATATGAAATTTGAGCTGATGAAAGGTATGCAGGAGTTCTTTGACTATTCTTAGAATTCTTATGGAAGCTTGAAATTATTCCATAATTTTAAAAGGCTGTAAAAAGCCAAAAATGTGTTGCATTTGACCCCATAAATAATCCCATGGGAGGGAATCGGGTCCAGTCAATGCTAAAGGACCAGAACCTAGGGCCTAATGCTCCCTGATTGCCTGTAGGCCTGGATGAAGGGCCACAGTAAGATCTTGAAATGTGTGCTCTTGGAAGGGCCCTAGTCAGCTGCTGATTAGAACCAACATAAGTCAGTTAAATAAGAATCTCTTGGGAAAGCACAGGCTTTAATATTTTTAGAAAGTCTACAGCTAAGTGTAATTGAGCAGCCGGGACTGAGAATCCCCGCTCCATGGAAAGGGGAGTGGGTCCTCCCCGGCAGGGTCCTCATGGGCTTTAGAGAGGAGGAAGGGAAGGATAATAATAGTTTAACTTTTAGCATTTACTGAGTACTGTCCCAGTTGACCGACAGCAGCTCCTGAAGTACTGATATTAACTCCCTCTTACAGATGAGAATGACAGGCAGAAAGATGAATGAGTGAGCCAGGTTACAACCGGGATAGAGAAGAGCATGATCTGCACCCTTCCCACTCGCTTTTTAAAAGTAATATTTATTCTATAGGCTGAGGCAAGAGGATCACTGCAAATTCAAGACCATACTGAACTACATAGCCAGACTCTGTTTTAAAAAAAAAAGAAAGAAGAGAGAGAGAGAGGAAAAATAATTGTGGTTCTGAGAAAAGACCAGAGGAGAGGAACCAAGATGGGAGTGGGTAGGTGAATAATGGCATGTGGGGACTTTGGAGTGGCTCCAAAGACACTGATCCCAAGAGGACATACGAAAGGAACAAACTATACTGAGGAAGAAAACGTTTTAACTGCAATTTTCTCTGAACTCCGACAAAACTTTAGCCTTCTCTGTCTTCCCATCACAGATCCTGGGCCTCATCCTTGTTCGAAGGCTTCTGGACTTCATATTCTCCCAGCATGATCTGGCTTGGATTGACAGTATCCTCCCAGAGAAGGAGAAAAAGGAGACAGATAAAAAGAAGAAAAGAAAAGGGGCCCATGAGGACAGTGACGAGGAGGTGGGAAAGATTTGAGGCTTGGGCAGAGGGGCATTCAAGAGAGCTTCTCTCCACTTCTACCAGGGCCAAGGAAGAACAGCTTCTCGGGGGGCCTGCAGCAGTGTGTGAACCCAGTCCGTGTTGAGCTGGGGCTTCTGCTGGTCCTGGTCTGGGCTGTTCAGACTCATCTGTTCCTGTGACTGTCTTCAGGGTGTTTCTTCAGGAAACAGTTGACTGGCCAAGCCCACTCTCTCATTCCTGTGGATTCTTGGGGCCATTTTCAATAGTGGCACAGGTCCCTGAAGGAATGGGACAGGAGACGGCTCCAACATGGGAAGCAGATATAAAGAATACCTCCAAATAATGGAGCAGGCCAGGGGATGGGTCTGCTGGGGACTCATAGGTGGATGGGATTTCGGGACAGGCAAGAGGGGCTGCTCTCAAGCTTTGCTTGGGGCTGTCTGGAGAGTATTGTGGATGAAGGTGAGGAAGAGGCAAGTGTTCTCACTGAAGGGACAATGGTTTTATTTCCCAGATGCCTAGGACTACCTCACTGCCCAGTCTACCCTTCTGCTCTTCCATGTTTCTTTGGCATCCCACCCCCAAAATACTCAAGGAGTCTATGGACAAGAAGCCAGTCCAGGAGATATAGTGTATCTCAAAATGTTAGGCAAAAAGAGTGTCTAGTTCAAGCATTCATTACAAATGATGGCACTGATGGTGTTAAGAAAACCTTCCCTGACCTTCACTCCTGATTTCCAATATACTGAGCTGACCATGCCATCTCCTAACATCATGCATGTCTCCAACTTTCCCATTTGACCCAGACTCATAACTTTTTATTTACTTTGTCTTATTCTCCTATTAATCTTGGCTTTTGCAAATGAAAGCTGTTGACAGACTCGAAGGGTTGAGAGTCTTACTGATTGGTTAGTGGTGATTAAGCCATTCTCTAATGGTAGTGATTGGCCAAATGGCCCCTGGTCCTTAACTGCTGTCCTCTTCCTGGAAGGAGACAGTACCATAATTCATTCATATGTATTGTTTAGATAATTTGTAAAGGCAGATTCTAAAAACAGAAACAGAGTCCAAGTATTTTTGAAGACAAATACTTATTCTTTCATTTGTTCATTTGAATGGTTCCCACATGTCTAGAACTATTTTGATGATGGGAAAAATTATATCTTAGATTATATGATAAATTCAATAAAAATATGGGATTCAATTTCCACAAATTCATTTTACATACAATAGCACAGCTATTGGAGTTTCATTCCAAAATCACTGGTGACACAACAGATTTAAGTTCTTCTGAGGAGGAATATTCCTAGATGAGTTCCTTCCTGTCTCCTGGGTGTCTAGAACTGTAGGTTTACTATGCCTGTTTCCTCCCAGTGGGCCCCAGAATGTTTGCAGCAACTTTCCCCCACTGTTTAGTCTGGATGTGAATAGGATGGTGGTTTACACACTGTGGATATATGAATTTTCCAACTTGGCAAGAATGCCAAAGTGGTTGTGTTGGTGTGTTCCTCAGCTTTTCCCACTGTTTTTCTCTAGCCCCAGTTCCCTCCTCCCTCAGTTATAAAGATCCCCATGGAAAGTGTCCCATCTGATCCCCAAAACGGCATCCACTGCATTGCCAGTAAGTAAAACACATGGTGTATTCCCTTCCTCCTCACTATTACTAATCCTCCATCTATTACTCTAGGAACTCCCATCTGTAACTCAGTGGAAACCTGTGCTAGACCCAGATCAAAGAGGACTGGGCCATGAGGGTTGGGACTCCAACCAGATGGAAACCCCAAAGCTACACCCTATAGATTCCTCTCACTGATTTTCACTTTAATTTAGCTCAAACCCCTCCTTCCTGCCCTTCATCTGGTGCCTGTGGCATCTCCTGGCCCTCTGCTGCATTGTTTCAGGGTGTAGCAGTCCAAAAATGCCCCCCAGAGCCATCCATGTTTTCCAGGTTGTTGAAATGATTGTGAGTTCAGATCAGAGCTGAGCTTTCCCCTAGAAAAACAGACAACTAGAACTGAAGGTCCTGGTCTGTATGACTCACAAGCTCCCTCCATATGCTAAGGGAGGCTGCCAGGAGGGGTCAGGCATTGTTTATGATCCCATGAAATTCTCTGTCTGCATCTAATGCCTTCCAGCTGGTGGATGATCCTGTCATCAATACCACACAGTCTGTCCTGGGAGTCTTCTGAAAAATCCCAACACAAGTGTAGGCCCTGATATTCCTGTTACAGGACTTTCTACTGTCCTCACAGGTGGGGATTAGGGGTAGGTCACCAGGAGATCCTACCAGCACCATCAAGGGCCCTCGAGGACTTCCTGTCAACACCGTCCATCATAATACATCATGATCTTTTCAACTTCCTCATGTCCCACCCCCCTCCCTTTAGTTTCCTTCCATTATTCTTTCTATTCCCTGGCCCCCCACAACTCACTCACTCCTGACCCAGCTAAGAGCCCTCTGTGTGAAGGATTGAGCCAGAAGCCACTCATCGCGGAAGGCCTCAGCATTCCTTTTGTATAGTGTTGCCAAAGGGTTAGAGAATAGAAAGAAATGGGGAGACACTGAAGAACTAGGATGTTCTCCAGGATACTAGTTAAACCTATTTCACCTCTGATATTTTAATTTTCCTGCCAGGAAAAAGATCTTCCAGTTGGAGTGACTCACTCTGATTCTTCCTTCACTGGCTTGGAGCTGGATCGAAGGTAAAGGCTGTTAGGTAGAGTTGGTGGATTTTACATGAGACTAAGCAACGACCAGAAGGTAGAGAAACCAGAGTTCCCAAGATAGCCGTTATCTCAGTAGAAAGCCTTTGCTGCCCCACCACTGGGAGACCAAGGCTGCCCAATCTGATCAAGAGTCAAGTTACAAATGAGTCTCCTCCTTACTGACATCAACAACATGATTACAACATACAAAGACATTCAATTCTATTTTACTTTATTTTATTTATTTATTTTTTGGTACTGGGGATTGAACTTGGGACCTTGCGCTTGCAAGGCAGGTGGCAGCATGACTGAGATAAATCCCCGGCCCAACATGCAATTTTAGAAAAGGAAATTATTGCAAAATATTACAAAGAACGTTGAAATCAAATAATTTTAAAAGAAAATAACATAGAAGAAAGCTATATATAAGTTTATATATTAACGAAAGCCGGGATAAATATATACTGAGGATCAAAATTCCAGGTACTCTAACACTTTGTGGAATACAATAACAATAGTTAATTATCAATGGCCTTTAAGGGTATTAAGGAAAACTAATTTAAAAACCAAAGATTATGCGGATGTAGGAAGGATTCAAGTCCCAGGTGCCAGAAGCCTCCAGGAAACAATGTGATTTTTTGCTGTTCTTGATGAAAAGCCACCCATAAAAAAAAGTGGCATTAGTTGATTACACAGGGGGACTCAAAAGTTAAGAAGAATTCAGAGGCAAGATAGTCCCTGCTTCTGTTATCACTGGGGAAGTTGGTAAGGGCAGTCCCAATCCACACTATGAGCCCTAGATTGAACAAAAGTCACTTGATCCAAATGCGTAAGAGCACAGGCCACCCCAAGACGAGTGGCAGATAAATCTCCAGACTTAGATGGCACTCACCCACAAGTTTTTCAGGATCTCCTAAATTTATGATCTCCTGCTGTTCAAATGCCAGAGTGAGTAAACTTATCACCAGTTCAACCCTCTCTGAGCTGGCCTAAGGACGCCCAAGCCCAGAAAGGCTACATGTCAAATTATGTCCCTTCTCATTCCACATCTCAAGTCAGGGATCCTGGGCTCTTAATGCCACCGATGTTTATATATACCTGGTAGGAGGAAAGTATTTTGTCCTAATTTATTTTTATCTATAAAAAATAACCTACACTAAATCAGGTCTCTCAGGGCTCCAGTTTGAGGCAGTGGAGACAACATTTCCAAAAACCTATTAAATTACACAAAGCCCTAGGACAAGGTCAGAGATACAGAAAATTTGGTAATTAGAAATGGTACTACCCAACCACACTATTTTACCAAATTTATGAAAATACTAGATGTAAGTAAAGGCCACCAAATAGCAGGATTTCACCTCAATGAACAAAACCCCTCAGCAACATGGTCTAGTTTAACAAGATGAAGCACCCAGGACCTACCGGACCTGATGCTTGGTCCCTGGGGATTCGGAAGGACCTGTAAACAAAGACACGGAGCACTGAGAGCAAGAACAATAATGGGCACACATTAGAGAAAGGTCAGCAGTCTAAGGGAGGGATTCGCCTTCTCTGGAGAATCTAGAACAGATCAGTAGGATCCTGCCAGATGGGCGAAGTGGGCAGAGCAAAGGAGGAAAGGACATTTTAGGTAAGGAAAACAGGCCTGAAACTGAAACGCAGAGAAGAGCAAATACAGGGATGGATGGGAATCAGACTAGGAAAGTAGGCAGTAGTTCAAGCAAATAAAGTCCTCTCTTGCTGTGCTAAGGAGCTTGGGTTCTGTCCTTTGAACAGTGAGGAAACCAGTCACATTTGTGATTTAGAAAGTTTGTTTTGGCAGTGATTTAAAAACAGATTGAAACAGAGCCAGACCAGTTCAATGACTGGCCAAAACCCATCTGATCAGACACTTTGTTCCTGTGCCACAAAGTTAATAAGCAAGACAGAACTACTTGCATTAGAACCCTGCTCTGGACACTGTGTTTAAAACACCCAAAAAGCTAGCGAATCATTCTTCCTACTTTTCTCTTGCTCAGCATCACCTTGCACTTCAAAATCTCCTGTCCAGCTTCACCTGCTTTCAACTACTCTTGGAACCCTGTCTTCATGGTGCCACAGGTGAAGATAGAGATGGAGTCTGACTATGACTTCACAGATGTGGAAGAGTTTGCAAGAGAGGCTGACCGTGAGACCACTCTCTAGGTGATGCAGCTGCTCCCAGCCTTCGTACAGGGGGCAGGCTTGGTATAGTCTCAGTTGTGAGAGTCTGGGTCTCTCTGTGTCTGTGCCTTTTTGCCAAATGAAGTCCTTCTGGTGAATAGAGAAGTAGAAATCTTTCAGTGATGCAAAGCTTTCCCCTTTCCTTCATAGTTATTAAAATACTAGAAGGTAAACATCATACCTTATTTTTCAAATGCAGCCCAATGCAAGAAACTACATTTCTTTTGAAATGAAAAAAATGCATATTTGCCAAAATCTTAACTAACATAAATGGGCACTAGTTAATTTATATTTAAAACAATATCAAATACATTTTAAAATTTTAAATCTAGATAATTTGATAGAACTCAAAACACTCCTACAGCCACCTGTAATCCCAACTTGGGATGTTGAGGCAGGAGGACCCTTTAATGGATACTAGATTTCACACCTGGAATCAATTTCTTCCTGCTATTGGGTAGGTCCTTCCTGCAAGTTTTCAGTGTTTGATACCCAAAGGCAAACCTCCATTCATACAAACACTGTGTTAGGCAGCTAACATTTTAGAAGACTGTAACTTTGCAATGTTAATCAAACTAGTACTTTAGAGCAATGATTGGAAGCAATTTGAGTAGATTAAAACCAGCTATTAATGAAACAAAGCCTTTCCCCATGAAATTGAAGATTGGACATTTTTATTTTCAATTCACATTTAGTAGCCCCTATTTATGTAGCACTTATTACTGCCCAATAGCTGCAAAACATCTAACATTTTCTTTCTCTATAAAACAACTATGAATTTGAATCTTGAGTAAATCACATTATTTAGTTTCTACATTTACTCAAGATGACAAATACAGATTTTTTTTTTTTTTAAGACAAATGTACCTTTTTAAGTCATTAGTACCTTGATACAAGGACAGGCAGCTGCCTCTGTAATCTTCAGTCTAGCGGAGTGCCTGGTCCATAAAACGTTCTCAGTTAAGTGTTCACAAAATTCAGTCTCAGAGCTCTATTCCATGGGGTACTGCCAAGAAGCAAAGCTCTCTAAGCCTCTATCACTCCTAACAGCAGAACCTTCTCAAATTGAAGTATAACTTCTTTATTGTCCTATGCACCAATACAGGGAAAGCTAACAATCCCACCTGAACATTTCAGATTTAAAGCCTAGCTGATTTGGAATAGGACTTTATGTCCAGATTGTAGAAATGTTATGTAGATTTGGGAGTAAATGTGGTTGGATTAATCAAAAAAACTGGAAAACTACAATGTTGTTTTTTCTGTTGTAAATTGATTTGTGTAATTTTTACCTTATGTATCATTTATATTTTGTATATATAAGAGCAGTTTAATTTCAAGGGTCTTTAATAGGGTGACATACTGTTACTTCTCCAAGCAGTAAGCTAGTAATTTTTTCCACTTTTAATGTTTAACTATAATTCAATAAAATTTAATTCTGTCCACTCATCTTACTTTTTTGTTTAATAATGTAGTTAAGTGAGCAGGTGTGGCACACAGACATGAGCTAGCTGTATCTCATAAAAACATGTCCAGCAGACTTTCCCAAGATTAAAGCCAGCTGGCAGAGGACCAAGAAAGTAGATCAACCTCCCAATGTTTCTCTTGTTTCTGCTTCAAGCTGCCAAAAGCAGCTCCTTGTGAGAAGCCCAGATATACGTTGAGAACACACAGGGACCTATCCCAGCCTCAAAATATGCGCAGCAAAAACCTTCCAATCTGTCAGAGCGAACACATACTTTTACATACTCATGTGCATACACACACAGGAGAGATATACAAAGCAAGATAGAAAAAATGTTTACATTTTTAAAAATGTATTACAGTAAAAGACACATGCCATTAACTCCCCTCAAAATACCCCCCCCACACACACACACAAACACACACATCCCATCCTCCTTGCCGCTTTCTGAAGCAGTTCTGAAAGTCCTCCTTTTGTTGCACTGTTGTGGCTGCCTGGATGCCCTGACTAGATTCAAAATGTTTCCATTTGTGGTCATTTTGACTTTACAAGTCAGAAGTTGCATGCTGCCAGTTCCAGTGAATAAGGTGAATGAGGACACGTTGTTTTTACAGGTGTGCCTTTCTGTTGGATGTGGCAGCAGCGTTCACAGTATTTTGACTATATTTTATAAAGACACAAAAAAAAGACCTTCCAGAATTGCTTCAGAAAGTGACAAAAACAATGGGATAAGTGCAATCAAAATGGGGGGCACAATTAATGGCAGTGTGTCTCTTACTGTGATAAATTTTAATAAACATTCTTCATATATTTTGTATATTTCATATATATTCATTGGTGTGTGTGTGTGCGCGTGCATGTGTGCTGAGAATCTGGCAAGGGGAAAATACTTTGTAGATCCTTTGTAGCAATTTGTAAATTGAATGCCTCGTTTGAAAAATACTCAGAATCACAAATACATCTTGAGATTAAGCTCCTGGCTTGGCACTTCCTGTTGGGATATGAAAGGACCAGGCTGGTTTCACCATAGCTCTTTAAGTCAATTTGTTTAAGGTTATAGGTTGGGTGTTACCAAATGTCTAGTAATAACTACACTGATTATATCCAATGAGAAAAAAATAGGTCACAAGTAAGAACAGGAAGATGGTATTTCAGAAACCCATTTCATAGCAGACATATAATTTTATTTAAAAAACAAAACCAAAACACCCTTTATCACAAACTCTAATTAAATTTAATATTAACTCAAGCTCTTAAAAATCTTTCAGGAAAGAAAGCCAACAGGGTACATGAAAGAAAAGCAGACAGCTGCTGACAATTCTTTGGTGGAAAAGTTAAGTTGCATACTTATAAGCTGCCTTAATGATTATCAAGCCCAAGTTTTGTTTTTCAAAACTAGGTTTCAAGGTATACCAAAGAAACCATACAGATACCCCTAACAATACAAAAATTGAACAATGAAGTTTAAGGATATAGTAGAGACCAAACATGACAGTACACACAAATAATTTACAAAACAAGCTTTTCAATCCTAGAAAACTAAAATGGGGACACTCACTGAAAGGTAATGCATGTAAAATGGGGGCAGCAGCAAGTGGAACAACCCTAAATATCTCCCCAATGACTAAGCCACGAAAAGACAACCTGTAACATGTAGTCCTTCTTTATCCTCAGCCAATTCGGTTCACTTCAGATAAATTTGGTTACCAATCAGTACGTACAGAAATTAAGGTAATTTTCTTCCTCTACCCAATCAGTTACCACCATTTCTTCCTTTTCACCTTTTTCCTGATTTTTCTCTAGCAACATTTTTCCTTTGGTTTGACTAGTTGATCTCAAAAGGTTTAGAACCTAAAACAAGTATCAACTCTTATTGGAATAGCACTTGGGAAATGCAATTCTAGAAAAGGCAGATTTTAACTTAAGTGGCTCGGCAAAGTTAAGCATCCATTCTCAAGGTGACAGTATCTCCCACATTAATCACTAGGTTCACAGCTCCTTTCGGCTGAATCACATGACCCAGCATGACCCTGGAGTGCCCCTGGCAAATACTGCAAGGCCATGTGCACACGCAACGACCCACTTAAGCTTTCAATAAATACAAAGTATATTTTAAACCATTTCAGCTGAATAAATAAAAGTCTTGTATTTCTATTGGCCTGCACTGCTTCTGGGCTGGCTTGAAGTCCTCCTGTTCACTGCATGGCAGACAGTTAATTGGTGGCTACTCCAAGCTCTTTAGACTTCAGCACTTCCCGCTCTTCAGGCCTCAGCACTTTTTTCGCAGCAATGATGGTATTCTTCATTAGCATTGCCACTGTCATGGGACCAACGCCCCCAGGGACTGGAGTGATGTAACTGGCTTTTTTCTTGACTTCTACAAAGAAACAAGACAGCCTGCTTCAGTTATGGCAAAGGACACGCATACATGCACATTAAAAAGGAATCATGCAAAGAAAATGCAACAAATATAAGTACCTTCATTAACCTCAAATTCAATTAAAAAAACACATTACATAACTCGAGTAAAGGTTTTTGAATGCATTAATGAAAATATACATATAATATGCAGTTGTTCGACTAATATTTACATATCTAATAACCTAATGGTTTACCAGTCACAATTTCCCTCCACATTAATTAAACTCAGTAGGTTAACTATAAGGGAGCATTACCTCCATACTTGCCTATGACATTACAAAAATTTTAAGTATTATTTGCCCAAAGCATCAAGCAAAGTAATTCCTAAAAACTTAAACTAACATTTCTTTTTACCCAATCTTAAGAGGAAAATACCTGGATACCTAGATTGGGTCTGATTGCCCTAACAGAAACAAAAAGCAAGAGATAAGATTATCAGTGCAAAATTTCAATAAGTATCTTTTTTCTTTTTTTCATTAGGTTTATTAGTAATTTAAAGCAAACAATACAGATACATTCATCACTGGGATCTTGTACCTTTACATGATATATCTTGGTTCTTGTTTTTCCCCATACCCTTGCCCTCCCTTCACCCGCTTCACCCTTCCCTATTTACAAAGACTTTACTGAAAGGAGATCTGTCCTAAATGTCCACTCAATGTAGTAGTATTTACTAATATATATTTTTATGGGTTTATTTTTGGTTTTTTGAGAAAAGTTCTCACTATGTAGTTGAGACTGACCTGGAACTCACTATGTATCCCAGGCTGGTCTCGAATTCACAGCGATCCTCCTGCCTCAGCCTCCGGAGTGCTGGGATTATAGGCGTGTGCCACCATGCCTGGCTCTGGCTTTTTTTAGGTAATAGCATGTTTTTAAAACTAATATATATTTTTGAAGAATTATACCATTTACCTTCAAAATCCACATCTCCAACCAACTTGGGTTTAGCAGTTATAGGATCTTGAATTCTGTTTATTCCCACATCGATGACTGCTGCTCCTTCCTTGATCATATCTGCTGTGATCAGATTTGGAATACCTGGCAATCGAAACCGGAATGACCGATTTAGTACAGAAAAGAAGCTTCCAGCTGCGTGTAGCAGCCATGTTTATAATCCCATCACTCTGGGAAGCTGAGCAGAAGGACAGTAAGATAAAGCCAGTCTGAGCAACTAAGACTCTGGCTCAAAAAAAAAAAAGATAAAAGCTGGGGATATAGCCCAGTGTGAAACTCCTGAGTTCAATCTCTAGTACTAAAAAAAAAGGCCAGATATGGTGATACACATCTGTAATCCCAGCACTGAGGAATTCTGCTGAGACAGGAGGATCACTGTGAGGTGGAGGCCAGTCTGGGCTATGTAGTGAGTTTAAGACCAACCTGAACTACATAGTGGGCCCCTACCTCAAAAGTACAAAACAAAACATTCACTAGTCAGATTCAATTTCCAGAAACCTGAAAAACCTAAGTATCGTGTTTTATAAAAACATATAGGTGGGGCTGGGGATGTAACTCAGTGGTGTGGCCTCCTGCCTTGCAAGCGCAAGGCCCCACGTTTGATCCCCTGTACAAAAACAAAAACAAAAACCTATAAGTGAGAGTGGTGGTATATGCCTATAATCCCAGCACTCTGGGAGGCTGAGGCAGGAGGATTTTAAATTTAAGCCCAGCCTGGGCATCTCAGTAACTTAAAGAGACTCCGATTTAAAAGATTAAGGCTAAAAAAGAAGTGAGAAGGTGAGGGGAAAGGAAATAAGAAAAAAGAAAAAATGAAACAAAGTCTTTGTAAATAGGGAAGGGTGAAGGGGGTGAAGGGAGGGCAGGGGAATGGGGAAAAAATAAGAACCAAGATATATCATGCAAAGGCACAAGATCCCAATGATAAATGTAACTGTATTGTTTGCTTTAAATGTACCAATAAACTTAATGGAGAAAAAATTTAAAAAAATAAAATAAAAGATTAAACTAGGGCTGGAGATGTAGCTCAGTGTAAAGGCCTTGGGTTTAACACCTACTACTGCAAAAAACAAAACAAACAAACAAAAAACTATGAAAGATATTAACCAAGGAACCACTTAAATTTCATGTAGCAAGGAGAAGTATTTTGAAGTGTTGGGAATAATCTGCACCTATGTAGTCTATAATGGAATGCCAGAACCAGAGCTCCTACCACACTTCATCCCCATCAGAGCTCCAAGAATCATTACTAGGGAAAGATGAATGGAATGGCACGAGACAGAGATACAACCTCACTCTTCTGAAGAGAAGTCTTTCCACCCCTCTCCCTTGAGCTCTTACCTGCAGCAGATACTACAATATCTGCAAGAATTGTGTGTTTCTTCAGTTGTTCTTTAGGAGTGTAGCGATGAGATATTGTAACAGTGGCATCACCTATGAAGAAAAAATAGATGTTTTGGTTTCAAATCAAGGCTGGGATTGGATTAGTTCTTAACCAGTTTAGTCAGGATAGAAACTCAATGTCTCTGAAAAATAACTGACTTAACGCTCATGCCATATTTTCTGGACAGTTATCATTTATTTTTTAAATTAATATTCAAAATAACTTCTACCTATTGATTCTACCTGTATCCCCTTAAGTTATATATAATTAAATTTATTTCTTATCATATTCCTTTTCCTATTTCATAGCCTGTCAAGAATTTTACCTTTTTTAAGCAAAATATCACTAGAATTACTTTTTTTTTCCCCAAATATGCCATCACATATCTGAAAAGTTTTACTATTCTCATATAATCATAAGGTCACTATTAAAATTATGTAATGTAATGTATATGAACCAACTCTATGATGAATGTAATCATTATATACTATAAGCTGAACTAATAAAAATTAAGATTTTTAAAATTATATGTGATAAGTGATTTATAAGACTTTTTCTTTAATAGAATTTGACATGACACACTGTGGTCCTCAAGCCAACCTTTGGCAATGATCTGAATTTTTTTTCCACCAAATGGTACAGAACAAGAAAGTCACCTCAAATAAGAACTGCTTCTTGTAGGGGAAGTGGGAAGGGTAGGGGAAAGGAAATACAGGAAAAGAAAAAAATATGAGAAAGGGAAAAAATGGAAACAAAGTCTTTGTAAAATAGGGAAGGTGGAGGGGATGAAGGGAGGGCAGGGGTGTGGGGAAAAAATGAGAACCAAGATCTGCCACGTAAAGTTACAAGATCCCAATGATGAACGTTAACTGTTCTGTATACTTAAAAAGTACCAATAAACTCAATGGGGGGAAAAGAAAAAGAACTGCTTCTTATCTACTACTATAAAGCCATACTGAAAATTTCTAAGTGCCTCAATCCATGCTTTACTCAAAACTCAAATTTATTTCTGAGACTAGTTCTGTAACAAATGAACAGTAAATACTCTGGTGACAAGGAGTACAGCTTCTGTACAAAGGTCACTCTCTGAGTACTCTCTGAGAACCACAACCAAAATAAGGTTTAACGAAGTTGCTGTTACATTTCCTCCACACAGGGAGAAGACACTGCTCTGAGAGCAGCTTCCTTACCTCCAGGTCTTTCGTGGGCCCCATCCGTGTGCAGTAACATTGCTATGGGCATTCCAACATTTTTTGATCTTCCAGCCACAACCACATTCTTTCCTAGGGTGGGAATGCCTATGGAAAAAACAAACAAACAAAAATATTTATGTATACACACACGTATATATGCATTAAAAAAAGCAGTGCCAGTTTTAAAATGAATACTAAAAGAAGTCAGATGACCCCAGTAGATTGGGATTCCACTCTTCAGTACTGCAGTATATTTTTCAACTTGTGAATATAGACTGAATATCCCTTTTCTGAAACACCTGGGACCAGAAATGTTTCAGATTTCAGACATTTTCAGATTGTGGGATAAGAGACTTTACCAGTTAAGCATCCCTAATCCAAAAATCAACAAAGGCCCAAAAAAGTTCCTCAGGGATGCCCAATGTGTGCTACTTTTGTAATAGCAAACACAGCTCTGGGATATACCTACCAGTTCGCTTAATTATTTCCCATACACCCCACGGGGTAGCTGGCAACATGGAATACTGGTCCAAACACATTCGCCCCACATTAATTACATGGAAGCCATCAACGTCCTTGTCTGGAGAAACAGCATTGCAGATCCTTCTCTCATCAATGTGCTCTGAAAAAGAAATTAGAACCGTGGCCTTAATCATCATTCTACAGTTAGAGGTGCACGACTCCAGCTCATGAGGTTCGTTATGCAAATCCACTTCCCATCTGCATGGAAGCAAAACCCAATGCCAGTAACAAAGCCAATGTCCTTTTCTTCCACTGCTGCTCTCCCCTGTCCTTTGTACCAGATCTTAATATCAAACCAGGGGTCAATCGGTATTTTGAGTAGGTCTGTCCCATTTCTAAGAAAATATTCAGGCTTTTGAGTTTGCCTTGACTTTTAGGAAATCGTGGTGAAGGGTCAGATGTATAAAGTAGCCAGATCCCTCCACTGCTCAGGAATCAGTGTATCTGGTAAAGACCCAAGACCCACCTGGAAGAGGCAGCTGAACAAGGAGGCCATCTACATTTTCATCATTATTGAGTTTATTGATCAAATTCAACAGCTCTTCCTCTGAAACTGAGGCTGGTTTCACAATGGTCTCACTGTTGATTCCTGTTACAAAAAAATACTGAGGTAATGAATGAGCACTGCTGCACAGCCTGCCATGTTCTGCAACTACAGGGGTTTTATCATTGACCCCACTCGGATAGCTGAGAAACTGACCTGGCTACAAGGAACCTAAAAAGCTAACTTCATAAATAAAATACATGAGACTAGCTCAACACATTCCGTACATTATTCTACACACTCCTTACTAACTTTGTTTTACAAATGAGGAATTAAATTAAAAAGCCAACCAGTGCCACAACCTTTCTTGTTCCAAAGTTCATGTTCTTTCCACTGCACCATGCTAACTCCTGTCTTTTTTTTTTTAAGTTATGATTTGCTATTTTCCAGAGGTTTTCAGCTACATGTACAGGAGGCTCCAGTCCTCAGTGATCAATAGAATAAACCATATTACTGGCTCAGGGGCCAGTAAGTCTGAGCAGCTGCACGAGAAGGAAGGGGCGGGCACTGGTGCTCAGATCACTGACCCACACGAGTGGGTGCACACGAGTGCAGCCCACCTGCCTCTAGGCTGCAGTCACACAATACTCAGTGGTACCTCGAGACTTACAAACCTCCCGTTATCCACACCCAACCAAACCACTTCTAACTGTGTGATTAGCTTTGGAACCAGTGAAGAAATTAAAAGTGATTTCCCAGAAGTCAGTCATTTCCTTCAAAGCTATGACTATTTAACCACATCACTAAGGTCTCTTAACATCCTACTGCTCAATTTTCCCCCAGCCCTTTACTGCTTTAAACTGAAAACACCCACATCAGAGACTCTCATTATTACTGAAGAAAAGCAAATGTGTTTAAGGTCACCTGTGAAATGTTAAGGCTCAGAACAGAATTTGGCTTATATTCCAGAAGACACCAAGAATGCCACCAGGTTCCTCCCGTCCTACTCTATAAGCCTCCCCAGCAGATAGGGTCTAATTTCTTCATGACAAAGATTTGGATACAGTTCACTCACATTAGCCTCCTCTCTTAGGGTTTTCTAATCAGAAAAAGAAATCGAATTACAGGGGAGTTGGCATCAGACTAACCTCAAGTGAACAGCAGTGGGGGACTGACAGTGACACTTACCCACATCGGCAGCTGCCTTGGTTTTGTTGAGGACATACGAGTGACTTGCAGGATTCTCGCCAACCAGAACTACGCTCAGGTGTGGCCGCTTGTTGCCTGCGGCCACCCACTCTTCCACCTCTTGCTGCACCTCCTGCTTGATCTGCTTCGCCAGTTTCCTTCCAGAAATGACAACAGCTTCATTTCTGTAGAAGGCAACAGAGTCACAAAACCAAACAGCTTGGATTTCTGTAAAAACTAAAGCTCAAACTACGAAGTGTTATTAAACACCAAAAATTTAAAGTTTAGATTAAAATACATGGTGCCTTATCTGAGGGACAACAAATGTGAAGGGCAGATTTATTTATTTATGTATTTATTTTCAGTAGTAGGGATTAAACCTAGGACTTCTGCACTGAACTACATTCCCAACCCCCCCCTTTTTTTTTAATTTAAAAAAAATTTTTTTTTTTTTTTGGAGACGGGTCTCACTAAGTCACTAATTTGCACAAGATGACCTTGAACTTGTGATCTTCCTGCCTTGGGTCCCAAAGTGCTGGAATTACAGACCACCTCATCTGGCCCAGGAGTGTCACATTAATGACTTCTGGTCATTGCCAAAAGTTTTCCATGTTTCAATTTGCATTTCTTTGACCCTTTAACACTACAAGGTTTAAAGTTTTCCCTAAAAGCTTATGTGCCACTTGCAGTACCTATTTCATTCAGTCATGTTTCAAATTGTTTCCCAGTTAGCCCACTGGCTTTGTATTTTCATAGTGCTTCTAAATCCTGCTGTCCTCCACATTTGTGGGTCATTGGTTCCAGAATCCCCTCCTCACCTATAGATGTTCAAGCCCCCATGTAAGATGGAGTAGTAGTGTGTATAACCTCTGCAATCTCCTCTGTAAGTCATCTCCAGATTACTTAAAATACCTAAAACAATGCAAAGCTATGTAAATACTTGTTATGTGGTATTATTATGGAAAAAAGTCTGCACATATTTGGTATAGATGCAGTTTTTCCCTAAATATCTACACTGTGTAGGTCAAACCTAAAAATGCCTACTGCTGGCAACCACCCTTATGGGGAAGACTTTCCTGGTAAGAGAGAAGGTTCCTCCTCCCAGGTGGCAGTGTTCTCTACCCCAGGACCCCACAGTCCATCCACAGCTCACAGACCCACAGCCTGCACCTGGTGCCAAGGACAATTCTTAGGCTAGGCAGGGGTCCAGCTAATGCAAAAGCTTAGCCCACCAGGAGCAATGTAGGTAAAGGGACCAGTAAGAGATCTTGCAATGGAGGGGGAGCTTCAAGCTAGAACCACAGAGAATCTGTTGATGAGAGTAGCAGAGGAAAGACAGGGAGAAACAAGAGAGAAGAGCAGTCAAGACAAAGGATCAGAAAACCGCTATTGGGAGTGGAGCAACAAGAAAACCCAGGATCTAGGAACCTCTAGTTCCCACAATCTTGTTCCTGGCTTTGCAAGGCTGTCTCTTTCCAAAGAGAACTGGCTATTAAGCAGTTTCTGGTCTCTGTGAAGACAAAATGTGAAGATATCTAGTTTTTGTTTCCACACATGTCGCAGCAAAGTGTCTTTACAAAAAAATAAAATCCCCCCTTAGACAAAAAGGTCTGGTAAAAACAGACTTTTCCCTGTAGGATTCCATCATAGGAGTACTGCTCCCACTTCAAAACCAATGAAATGTCCATTTCCCCTTTTAGTACATGTTTAATTCTCAGGGATCATATCAAGCACTAGATACCTCCTATGATCAGACAGGATTCACTCTCAAGATCATCTCTGCTTTAAATGGAATTTCAAAGTTCTAACCTTGAAGTTTTCAATGCCTACTTTTTATTTACATTATGATCAAAATATCTACTTTAAGGCAGGGGATTTAGCTCAGTGGTTTGGCCACCTGCCTCACAAGAGCAAGGTCCTGAGTTTGATCCCTGGTAACAAGGGGGGGCGGTCCTTTGCTGACGCAAACACCCTGGCAACATTCCTGGTCTATATTTATATTAGTACCTGGAGTAGCCACCCTCAGCCAGAAATACATTCACAACTCCAAAATACTACAGAATCAAAGACTACTTACAATAGGACTTAGGACAGTCATTTGTACTGAATAAAGTAACAGTATAAATAAAGTGCCAGGTAAATATGTTCAATAAAATTAATTTCTTTTCTTGTTTATACATATATCCTTAATATATAATGGATATATATATATATATATATGTATGTAATAAATACATACAGTGAGGACTTAGCTTGCACTTCATTTTTAAAAAGCTTCTTTTGAAAGCAGTAAACTTAGAGAAAATGGTAGCAGCTCACTTGGACTAAAATTTATAATAATACTAAAGTTAAGAACACAGGGTTCTGAGAGAAGCAGTGTTCCAAGTCCCCATCTTTGCTTCCAAAGGCAGGTTCTGGATGTTATGCCAATTTGCTTTTTAAAAAGTCAAAGAATAACACAAACTAAAAACAAAGTTACAATGTAATGAAGATTTTTTTCATAATATAACTGCATTTCATCCCCCCTCTGCCTCCCACAACTTTACCAACGTTGAAGCCCATTAACTTCCTATTATCTTTTGCTAAAAGGCAAATAAAGTAAATGCTACCCTAAAATAAACAGGAAAATAGGAAATTCAGCTCAGTCCCATGGGAAATCAGAAAATTATAACTCTACTAAGACTTACTTAGAAATTAAATGATTTTGCAGATGTGTTTAGAAAAGTTTTCATTAAAACAATAAATCAACAGACTACAAAGAAGTCAAGAGGTTTGTTCCAATAAAATGAAACTAAATCCAAATCAGTAGATCTTCACTTTCCTCCAAACCCAAAGGTTTAGCAATTCTCCATTAAAAACTAGTATCAGGGGTATTTTACAACTCACAATCAACTTATTTTGGAAGAGCTCTGTTATGTACTAATTAATGGGACCAGAAATGAGTGAAAAAAGATGCAAAGGGGAATGGAACCTAACATCTATTAAACAGTAGGTCTTTTGCCAAGACTTCTACATACATTACTTTGGGTTACCGTGGGCTATTACTATAACCCTATTATATAGAAGAGAAAACTGAAGACAATAAAAAAAAGAATGTAAGGGTCTGCCTCCAAAGACCATTTACTCCTCTATCTCCTAGGCTACAGTAATTCTGAGACTTATGTTCCCTCACCCTGCAACAGCGATGCATGGGCACTGTAAATACCAAGTGTTCAGCACAGATGTGGGTTGCCTTCAGAGATGTGGAGCCTACCAGTACATTCAGAAAGGCAGGTGAAAGAGCAGTTTCGTGTAATCAAACTGGCCTAGTTCTTCAGGTAATGAATTACAGCAGATAATGAATTAGAGGCTCTTTATAAATATCTTTTCAATCAAAAAAGTCTATGAAAGGCCTTGTCCACAGGTACATGTAGCCAGCACCTCAGGAGAGGCAAGGAAGGAACATACAGTAAGGAAAGATGAGGCTGCTAAGGCAGGTCAGGGTCAGACCAAGTCTTGAATGATTCCACCCAAGTAGTCCACTAACACACAATCTGTAACCCGCATTCTGTGCGCCAACAAGCAAAGCCTTGGAAATGGGGGGGGGTGAGACTTGAACTCAGGGTCTTCGCACTGAGCAACATATGCAACCCTTTTTGTTTTTGAGACAGGGTACCACTAAATAGCTAAATAGCCCAAGGCTGGACCTAAAGGTTGAGGAGAAAGAGGGTGTACACGTGGTGAAGAAATCTCAGCCCCCCTCCCTTCCAACCCTCTTCAACTTAGCTTAAGAATGGGAAGTTGAGGTCCAGAAAGAACACGAAATCTCATTACTTGCCTAAAGAAATGCACACAGAGCTTTCCCTGTCTTCCTCTCTGCTATTTTTTTACCAATGTTTTTATTGTAGTAAAACAAATATGAAATCTACCATCGTGACCACTTTTAAGTATACAGTATGATATTAAATACATTCAGAATATTGTGCAATCATCACCATTATCCATCTCCAGAACTCACCTTATAAACCGTAACTATTTATGAAAGAATGCTCCTCACTCTCCTTCTCCCCTTAGTCCCCCGGCAACCTCGGAATATTTATTACCTCAAATCACCCAGCCTGGCAATTACCCAGGGACCACTTTAAATACATCCCGGACTGGGAAGGAGCAACGCGAGCCACACCCACCCGGGGAGGTGGAGGGAAGTGCGGTACCCGCGAGCAAGCCGGAGCGGAGATTTCATCAGACTGCACCAACCCGGGCCGCCGCTAGGGTCCAGGCAAATGATGGTTCGCGGAAGGCTGCTCCCTCGAATTCGCTCCCGGAGCTCGCCAAAGGGTCTCCCCGCTCTCCCCAAGACTCGACATCACAGGCGGGGCGACCTGCAGGCTCTGGCCCGTAACCTTCGTGTGTTCCCACGCAAACTAGCGCGCCCCGGAGCTCTGCTGAGTCTTCGCTCCGCATGGTCGACTGTGGCCGAGCTCCGCTACACGTCGTCCCGTCACGCCCCTCTCGGTGCCACCACCGCCGAAGAGATGCTCGGGCAGGACGTCCCTCGGCGACCCTCGCCAGCCCTGGAGGCCCCCGCCCTCCGTTGCCCGAGCTTTCCGCGTAGATCGGCTTCCAGACCCACTTACCGAACTGCGGCGAGATGGAAGGGGCGACGGCGAAGGTGGCAGCTGTGCGTCGGCCTGAGCAGCCGAGCGGCCAAAGCGGACAAGAAAGAAGTTGCAGCCATAGTCGTACCGATGCCCGCGCCCTGAGACAAACGCGCGCGCGGGTCGCGGAGTTTTACCACCGCGGGGTGGCAGGCCCCACCTGCCGCTGGCATTCATTGGTCCATGTAACTGTCTGTCGGGCCTGTCGGAGATGAGAAAGCCAATCGGTTATCTTCATTAAAGGTAAGCGAGGTCCGGTAGAGCGCTGCTGGTGATTGGAGGAAGAAGAGCCCTCAGAGAGACTCTGGAAGGCTCGAAAGCCTCGGCTGCTGGCTCTGATTGGCTGAGGCAGTCAAGCCCCTGTCTGACGTAGCCGGTGTCAGGGAACCCGGGCGACGGTAGCCGGCGTTCATTCATTCATAAGCAAATATCTGAGTGCCTACTATGTGCCATGCTTTGGAAAGGCGCCCTAAAACGTGGGTAGACAGGCAGAATACCAATGAAGAAATGTAGATCCAGTTAGACAATCACCTTTGACAAAATCATAGTAAAAAATTAATTTTTGAATTATCAATGGATGTGAAAATAATTGGGTGAAAGTTGGACAAGAAACAAAAAAGATTTACATATAGGTTTGCCGGCTTCAGCAAATAAAAACACAAGAAGCCCAACTTAATTAGAATTTTTGATAAATAATTATGGGAGGTCATACTTATACTTTAAAACGTATTTATTATTTATCGGGAATTCAAATTCACCTGGGCTTCTTGTATTTTATCTGACACCTCTCTTGCATAGTCTCAAGGTATCTCTTCAGCAAAGTACTTAATAACAAAAACCAAGTGATAGAAGTTAACGCTACCAGAAGGAAAAAGCACTGATGCATTGAAGAGAACACATCACTTCATAGCTTTAAACAAACCTGAAAATTTAATGAAGCAATATTTCTAAGTCAATGGGTTTCCTAAAAGTATTGCATATTTCTTGTTTTTACATTGTCAAGAGAGATCACAGAGCTAATATATAACATTGTCCAGGGGGAAAAACATATTCCTAAAAATTTCACAATATCCTAGATCTTAGTCTAATCATGAGGAAATATCAGTCTCAAACTGAGACACATTCTCTGGAATAAACCACTTGTACTCTTTGAAAATATCAGGACAAATAAATGACAAATGAAGAACTGTTCTAGATTAAAAGAGTTTAGTATGACAACTGGATGCAATATGTGATTTTGGGGTGGACTAGACTCCACCCCATATCCATATAGGTACACTTTTGAGGGGGGGTTGAGACAGGGTCTCACTATGTAGTTGAGACTGACCTGGAACTCACTATGCAGTCCAGGCTGGTCTTGAACTCACAGCAATCCTCCTGCCTCCGCCTCCCCAGTGCAGGCATGCACCACCACACCCAGCTGTACATTTTTGTTTATTTATTTTTCTTCATTTTTCTCTTTTGCTCTAAAATGGCATTGTAGGACAATTGGCTAGATATAAATAAACTCTGTAATTAACTACTAACATTGTATTGATGTTAATTTCCTGATTCAGCATTTAGCTAATCATACTGTGGAATTAAGAGGATTTACACTATTCGTTTTTTAGACATAAAGAGATATAATGTCTGTGCCTGACTTTGAAATGGTCCACAAAAAAGGGGAGGGATACATATATAATCATTTGCTAGAGATACAATAACAAAAAATCACACACTAAATGGCTTAAACAACAGAAATCTGTTTTCTCACAGTTTCAGAGGCTAGAGCTACAATATCAAGATGTTGGTGGGGTTGGTTTCTCCTGAGGCCCTTGTTCTTGGCTTGAAGTTAGCTGCTTACTCACTGTGTCATGGACTTTTGTCTGGGCACCTACATCCCTGTGTGCATCCTCCCTCGTGTGCGTGTGTGTGTGTGTGTGTGTGTGTGTGTGTGTGTGTGTGAGTGTGAATCTGTATCTATGTCTGTGTGTGTCTGTACATTTTAATCTCCTCTGCTTATAAATCAGACTGCATTAGAGCACACCCTGATGGTTTAACGTTATTAAGGCCCTCACTTAATTTTATTTATTTATTTATTTATTTTTATTTATTTATTTTGAGACAGGGTCTCACTATGTAGTTGAGACTGATCTGGAACTCACTATGTAGCCCAGGCTAGTCTCGAACTCACAAAGAACCTCCTGCCTCAGCCTCCCAAGTGCTGGGATTACAGGTGTGCACCACCACATCCAGCAAGGCCCTCACTTTATATATAGTCATACTCTAAGGTTAGAGTATACTGAATTTTGGGGAGAACACCAGTCAGTCTATAACAACATATAGACATAAAGAAAAGCTGCCAAACGAGTGAACAAATGTAAGATAATAACTCTGGTAAAGCAGGAAGAATATCCAAGTAGTCTTTGGACCTTTCCTGCCACCTTTCTATATGTCTGAAATTATTTCAATGTTTTAAAGTGATATTTTTGTCCTCAAGGGGCTTGGGGCATGGCAAATATGCAGTGAACAAAAGAAAAGAATAAGAAAAAGAATATGCTGCTGATAACCCTCATGACAACCAATGTGAAAGTTTGTGTGAGTTGGAGCATGGCCCAAAGGTTCTGTGGCTAGGAGCAGTGATTCCCAGAACCAGTTCAAGCTTCTGCAAGCTGTGGGGAGGAGGCATCTTAGGGTCACCTGGGCTCACAACCATGACTGTGAGGAAGTAAAGGAAACAGACAGGCCCTGCTTTTTATTTATTTATTTATTTATTTATTTATTTATTTATTTATTTAGAGGCAGAGTCTCACTTTGTACCCCATACTAGCCTTGAACTTATAGCAATCCTCCTGCCTCAGCCTCCTGAGTGTTAGGATTATAGGCATGTGCCACCATGCCCGGTTAGGCTCTGCTTTCAAGAAGCCTACTTACCCTACTACAAAGTTTTGGAAGTTCTCTTTTCTCAAAGCATTAATTGTGTGTGTTTGCTTGCTTGCTTGCTTTTTGTTTGTCTGTACAACATAAGAATTTATTGGGCAGAGTGGGAGAGATTTAATTCAGTCTATAACAATGTACAAAGATAATCGTGATAGATCAGTGAATAAAAAGAAAGTTGCATTTTATAAGAAAGTTTGATCTCCTTTTTAACAATAAAATGAAAGCAAACAGCTGGGCGTGGTGGTGCACGCCTGTAATCCCAGCACTCGGGAGGCTGAGGCAGGAGGATCGCTGTGAGATGGAGATCAGCCTGGGCTACATAGTGAGTTCCAGGTCAGTCTCAACTACATAGTGAGACCCTGTCTCAAAAAAACAAAAAACAAAACAAAAAGCAAACACCTTATATACATGGATATTGATAATTTAATTAATTAATAATTAAACTCCTGGCGATCCTCCTGCCTTAGCCTTCCAAGTGCTGGGATTACAGGCATGGCCACTACTCTTGGCCCAAAACATTTACTTTTCAGTACCAGGCACATGGCCTTTTTTTTCACTATATAGCCCATGCTATTTTTGTATTTTGCGTGTATTTTTGTTTGTTTGTTTGTTTTCTGGTACTGGGGATCAATCTCGGTCCTTGCACTTGCAAAGCAGGCACCAGAACCAGTAAGCTAAATCCGCAGCTTTTTTTTTTTTTTTTGAACCATGATTGAACTTGGGTCCTCGCACTTAAGAGTCAAGCAAATGACTGAGCTAAATCCCCAGCCCCCAAAACATTTACTTTTAAGAGTGAAATTATGTGTGCTGGGCATGGTGGTGCATCTTAATCTCAGTACTAGGAGGCTGAGGCAGGAGGATCACTGCAACTTTGAGGCCAGCATGAGCTACATGAATTCAAGGCCAACCTGAACTACACAGCTAGACTGTCTCAAAAACCAAAACAAAACAAAAAATGGAACTATGTGTAAATATTATTATATATTTTAATATGCTTAGCAAAAGGGCTTGCCTCCATGCTTCGACACTATTATATTGAAAATGCATTTGGGCAAAATATCTCCCAATTTTTAGACCAAATTCTATGGGTGGAGGTGCTCATACCCCTCTGTACCCAGCCACAACCAGTCTTTCTGCCTGCTTTTATTGCCTTTCCTACCGCAGAGAACATCCTGTCCTTCCCTGGTGTTTGGTTGCATTCCTCCCTTTGCTGCTTCTCTCTCAGGGCTGTCCTCTGGCTGCCTGGCCTCTAAGGCCTCCACATCCAGCTCTCCATACTTTCTCTTCAAAATACATCTCAGTTAGGGGCCAGGGATCTAGTTCAGTGGTGCGTGCCTGCCTCACAAGCACAGGTCTTGAATTCAATTCCTAGTACCAGAACAGAGAAGAAAAAAAGTAAAACAAAATACATGTCAGTTTTATCCACCTCTCTCCCCATTGACCTGGTCCTCATCAACTTCATTCCTGCCCAGACAAATTCAATGACCTCTCAACTGCTTCAGCTCCCACCCTTTTATTTATCTATCTATTTATTTGGTCTTTTTGAGATAGAATATCACTGTGTGGTTCAGGCTGGCCTCGAACTCACAGCTATGCTCCTGCCCCACACTCTCATGTGCTAGGATTACAGGTTTGTGACACCTTGCCCAGCTACAAATTGACATAATGAGAGAAAGTGATCTGCGCAGGGCCGTACTGCTACCAAGTTTCCATGCAGAGATCTGAACCTGGCATTTCAGGGTTGGCATGTAAGTTTGTAATCACTGTACCACACTGCCCAGTGGTTCAGCTTCTTAAAGAGTAGGTGGCATCATGCTTCCGAATACCTTCCAGTTGTTGGCCATCTTGTTTCAAATAGGCTGAGGTTCTTGGCAGCTGGCTTCATCTCCCTTCACTTCCCTCTTTGCCTGTCACATTCTGTCACACTGGCTTCTTCCAGTTCCTTGATCGTTAGCAAACCCCTGCATGCTTCAAAGCCTTTGCGCACCCTCTTGACTCTGAGCAGAGCTTCTCTCTTCATTTGGCTAACTCATCTTCTGGGGACTTAGCTTAGATGACATCTCAACTTCTCAGTCTCTCTTTGTTTTCTGCTGTCATAATCCCCCTCCCTTGTTCAGTTTTTTGAGACAGGGTACCATGCCATATCTCAGGCTGTGCCTCAAATTCTTAATCCTCCTGCCTCAGCCTCCTAGAGTACTGGGATCACAATCCTGTACTCCCTCATTGGCTTTTGTTCTTTGTCTTTGTTTTTTGGGGGAACAGGTCTCACTA